AAAAAACCTGTAGATTATTAGTATTGAAACATATAGTGTCAAATAAATAAAAAATCAATTCACATATAGTTTTACTCCCTCTGTAAATATCAGTTTATAAGATGAGATTTTTCACTTTTAAATCACCATATAACTGAAGTCACACTATAGTCAGGGCCGTTTTTTGTGGACCTGCGACGCCACTTGGGAGTAGAAAATAGACTGTGGTGAACTGACAGGCTTGGTGCATTGTCCTGAGTGACTAGCGCCTGAGCACGGAGGATCCACAAGAGTCAGGGATGTAAGTCGATCCACACATTCAGGAGTCTGAGTGTGAACGTTGATGCTAACATCATAACCATCCTTGCACGGACCTTGTTCGTTCACAGCGTAGCACTTGCCGTCACTCCACGTAACGATTGTTTTATTTGGAAAGCGAGTCCGAGTCGCCGTGCAGTTATCTAACCGGCAACCCCCCACAACCCACACTTGTCCTTTAGGACACGGACCTCTTTTGTACGCTTGATAACACTTTCCCGATTTTTCGTCTTTGATGTGAACAGGTGACTTGATACAGCTACAAAACCCATCACCAAAAAAGTCTGTGTCTGCAACATTACCTACTGGGCAAACAGACGAACTTTGGTTTTCATGGATGCACCTTTGTCGGCTCAAAAAGTAATGCATCTGTGAGGGACATTTCTGTAGCGCACATTTCCCCCTTATCACTGGGTTAGGTAAAGACGCAGCTGAGAGATCCAAAACTATCCACTGTCCCTCTGGACAAACATTTGAGTCGGGTTTTAATAATGAGCGACATTCTCCGTTAAATTCAATTTTAAACTCATCTGTGAGACACTCTATAAGTTTTTCACTAATGTTTGAAGGGCTTTGATCGATTTCTTCATCAGGGAAAACAATAGAAGAGGCACACAAAACAACAGTGAAATGAAAAGTAAACAGACAAACAGTCACCAGTAGTGGCGACATGTTTGTGCCTGTCTAGGACATGGAACACTGACTCGTACACCTGTCCACTATACACAATACTGCGTCCACACTGACTAACTGTCCACTGTCAACTGGTTCCTATTGCTCTCTCTTTCCTCTCTCTCTCTCTCTTTCCTCTCCCTCTCCCTCACACACACTCTCTCTCAGGCCATGGTACTCAAATGAAAGTTGGCATGTTCCCATCTGTTTGTTATTCCTCGAATACTACTCTATTTCCATACACTGAACATTACTTTCTTAAATAGTAAGAAGAATTTTCTTCGGCTATTTTTGTAAAATTTTTTGTAAAAAAACGTATGAATACAGTTTAAGTCATACTGAGATAAATAACATTAAACAACTTGTATAAATTGTTAGTTTTTTTTTTTACTTTGAATAAACATTACAAGCACATTAGTATGTAAATGATTTAGATGTCATAATTGATTATGCATTATTATGTATGATGTATTAAAGCAAAAATGTTTGTTCAACTTGTTTGTTTTAACAATCACTATTGCATCTTATTGTAATCCTATTAATATATTTGAATCTTGAAAATATTCTGTAATTTTTGTTGTGTTAGTCCTGCTAATCCAAACCAACCATCTTTCCTGTAGAAAATAAATCAAACTCATTCATTGAGTGTTTTATTTTCTATACAAATTATTCATACATCAAAAACCCCAAATTATTAGAATTGGAATCATTGGAATTTTTTAATTTACTTCTAAATATGAGAATAAAAAATCTATTTTTAGTACTAACAGAAACAGTTTTACTATTTGTAATATTAAAAAAAAATAACATACAACTACTTTAAACAGTAATTTTCAATTAAAAATGTAAACAGACATTTTGAGCATAACACTGCAGATATCTTTCTAGAATCATAGACTAAGGAACAAAAGTGACTTTCTCTTTTGTTCCCTAGTCTGTGCTAGAATGCAATAATTCTTGATTTAAAGATTCTTAGGAAATATTCAAAATGAGGAAATCATTTACAGTATTAGATAATAACATGGGGGGACCTTGTCTTTCCCATCAGCCTGTCTATAGCTGATAGTGGTTCTTAAGATTTCTTTATAATGAGTCTCAAAACAAAAACCAAACTAGTTAGGTATAGTGAAGTAGTTTTTCTTTAGAATGTCTCAAGACATAGTAGATACAAGTAATAACAACGGCTAATGTTTTGTAAAAAGAAGAAACTTTTAATCTTTGTATTAATGGCATTGTTAGTTGACCTATTGGGGAATAACGAGGGGTCATTACTAACAAATTCTATTAGTTGGACTATAATTAAACACAATTTAAAAGCCTAACACAATTTATAATTCACTAACCTTTGGTTGAAATAAAACCTATTAAATAATAAATACAGTATCTACTGTAAACTATTGAGCAAGCTTATAAAATTAGAAAGTTATACATAAGTTAACACTTATTTATTGTAAATAATTCTATTAATTAATGTCAAAGTTATAATTCAGTCTGTTATTTTTAATTAAATTCTATTTAAATAATAGAAAGATACTGGGACTTTATTATTCGGTAAAATTGTTCTCTTTAAATAAGCTATTAGCTTTTCAAGAAGTTCTTGAAGGTTGTATTGTTGCATTTATCAAGTTTTCACGGTTTACTTATATGATGACTGATCTTTCATGACTATTCAAATAACTATAACATTGATTATTCATGGATAAAGGTTATAAATTAAAACATAATTTATTTGTCATTATGTACACATTATACTTAGCATGTTGTCAAACCTTACTGATTAAGAGTACATTACTAAAGCTGATAGGATTCAATCCTTTTTAGATTGGACAATTTAAATTTTATTAGGTGGTAGATTTAATCCACCATCGATGTTGCTATAAGCTTGAAAATAACAACATTAACAGATCATTAAATAAAGTTTATGTATACTGTATCTATATCTGAGTTCTACCTCTCTAATGTATTTTCATAAACCAAAACAATGGATTGATTTTGTTTTGAAACATTGAAGTTCCATTTCAAATAAATGCTGAAAAACAGTCTGAAAATAAGATTTCCTAGATTGACATATGCACATAAAAAAATATGTTTAACCTTTTGAGTGCTAGGCCAATGCTCGTATTTAGTAAGACTTTTTTGTTTGCCTTTTAATTCCTTTACCTGTTATTGAATTGTAACTGTATTGTAATGTTCTGATACCATTATTTGAAACCAACATGTCATAAAATCTAAAAACATCTAGCTTACTATGTAATATTGAATTTAACCTTGATTTAGTTGGATAAGGTTGTTATAAAATAGCCTTTTTCGGAAAATAAACCTATTTGTCAGTAAAGCCTCAGTAACACCATTTAAGATCACTGTTGTAGTTCAGTTGAAAAATATCATCTAAATAGTCCGTGACTAACTAGTGCTGCTATCTAGTAACACATTGAACAACTTAGGTTGTAGCGCTGTTGGGTCCGCGATCTGTTAGCGATTATTGACGTCTGCTTAAATAACAGTTTTAACTCAATATTCTCCAAGCACAGATAGCCGAGAAGGCTAGGGCATGTGTCACTTGGCATTTGTTTGCTCGAGTTTGATTCCCGTCCTGTGTAGCAAATAATTGGTGACCTGTGTGTTTGGAGTGATGTAATACAACCACTGGGGCATAGTACGGTGTTCATAAGCCTTGGATTATACATACACCTCGAATCATCGGATTAGGCGAATCTTTTAGGCTAAGTGGTTGTTAGTGGAGAGTTGGAGAGTTGAGTGCCATGTACACAAACTGACCAAGGTGTCTCCCTATGATAGGAGAGTGAAGGATTTAGCTTTCTGTGGTAGAGCTTAGTTGAAGTGGAGAGTTAAATGCCATGTACACAAACTGATCAAAGAAGTTGTCTTCTCATGCCAGGAGAGTGAAGGATTTACCTGTTTGTGGTAGAACTTAGTTGAAGTGGGGAGTTAAATGCCATGTACACAAACTGATCAAAGAAGTTGTCTTCTCATGCCAGGAGAGTGAAGGATTTACCTGTTTGTGGTAGAGCTTAGTTGAAGTGGGGAGTTAAATGCCATGTACACAAACTGATCAAAGAAGTTGTCTCCCCATGCCAGGAGAGTGGAGGATTTACCTGTTTGTGGTAGAGCTTAGTTGAAGTGGGGAGTTAAATGCCATGTACACAAACTGATCAAAGAAGTTGTCTTCTCATGCCAGGAGAGTGAAGGATTTACCTGTTTGTGGTAGAGCTTAGTTGAAGTGGGGAGTTAAATGCCATGTACACAAACTGATCAAAGAAGTTGTCTTCTCATGCCAGGAGAGTGAAGGATTTACCTGTTTGTGGTAGAGCTTAGTTGAAGTGGGGAGTTAAATGCCATGTACACAAACTGATCAAAGAAGTTGTCTCCCCATGCCAGGAGAGTGGAGGGTTTACCTGTTTGTGGTAGAGCTTAGTTGAAGTGGAGAGTTAAATGCCATGTACACAAACTGATCAAAGAAGTTGTCTTCTCATGCCAGGAGAGTGAAGGATTTACCTGTTTGTGGTAGAGCTTAGTTGAAGTGGGGAGTTAAATGCCATGTACACAAACTGATCAAAGAAGTTGTCTCCCCATGCCAGGACAGTGAAGAGTTTACCTGTCTGTGGTAGAGCTTAGTTGAAGTGAGAGTTGAGTGCCATGTACACAAACTGATAAATGGTTTAGTAAGATTTTTAAAGCTATTTTTTTAACAATTTACAGTTTTTGTTCTTCTGTCATTCAACATTCATTTTGACGTAACAAATAGCTGCCCTATGTGCCCAATGTTGTGAAAAAGCAGTCAGTACTGCTTGCATTAGAAGATTGATTTAGAATCTTTGACATAGAGACATAGTTATCTGTGTGGTTTAGCTGTCAAATTTATTTCCATACCCTTCAAATAACATACAATTTGCAACGGTTAAAGACTCTTACATACATTGCAGATTTATTTAGACTATCCTTGCACCATGGGCTGATCAACAAATATGTTTGATTTTACTGTGAATACTGAATTGATATTTATTTTTCAGGTGGCGAAAGCCAACTCGGGAGTCCTTGACGACTTCGGAGTATCTCGCTGTGTTGGAAGCTCGCAACAAATGCAGTGCTGGGGAGACCGATCAGATATCCATTCATCGCGGAATCGATGACATAGAGCGACCTAATCTCTCACATTCCACCAGCAGTACATTCTCCAGGTATGGTCTTCTATATTTAATTAAATGATGTCTAAAACAAAGAGTAATAATGTGTAAAATATTATATAACAACCCTTGAACCTTAATCACTCACTACCTGAGAATATAGTTCTTAAGTGGTGAATTTATTACACACTAATAAAACATTTGCAAGTGTTTTGTTTTCTTAACAATTCAATATTTTAAAACTAACTTGCCTTGTGAAATCATTGACCTCTAGTTAGTTTTAATAGCCATAACCATAGTCATTGTGTATTTATCAAAGTAATTTTCCTCAGATTATTCAGTTATATATATATATATGAAACATGCGTTATCTTAACTACCTGAAACGAGTCAGATAAGGGTAACTACATTAAAAATCTTTCCTTATTTAAAATATTATTGGTCTTATGTTTTAGCAAATTTCACCTTGTACAAAATTTATGATAAAAAAAACAAACCATAAAAAATAATCTGAACAACAAATTACATGTAATAGCTTTATTGTTTATATTTTGTTTCTATCAACTAATAAAAGAGAGTATAACTTTTAACAACAAAATCAACACATAATTAAATAGGTACCAATTTAGTTTTTCCTATTAAAAAAATGGTTTTCATTAAACTTTAAAATTAAGACACCCAAGGTTCATATAAGATGTACTAACGTTTTACTAACAATAACAACAAACAATCTCTTTTTATCTGCTTCGGTTCCAAACTTCTTGTTTAATAACATATCCTTCAAACAGTTTATTTTAAAACAAGTATCCTGGCAAGACTGAGGCCAGAGATTGTTCAAGTGTTTTGGTTGGTATGTCTGTAAAATATAAATACTCCTGAAATCTGATTTTATTTTGTAGTAGACCCCATAAATAATTCTTCCTTGCCAACTTTTTGTGGGACAAGTAAAATAAAAGCTTGGGTATAACCATAGTTTTCCAAGTGACACTACTAACAATTAGTTGTGATAAATAGAACTCCCTCCTAGTATTTGTAGTATATATGTGGGATGCTGCTGTTGGGATGTTAGATGGTTAGAGTGCAGGCGTTTTTGTCCCTGGGGCCGTGGTTCTAATCCTGCTTATCACCATATATAACCAGTGGTACAGCTCACCTTAATCTGTAGGTCCAAATATCAAGTAAAAAAGGTGGGTTCCTTAGGCAAGATAAACTGGATTTGTATTCAAGACCCCACCTCTGGCCATGATATCATCTTTTCATAAACACGTTACATACTGATGTCAATTGTGCGGTCCCGTAAAGGTTCCCAACAAACAAATTATTACTATATTATAGAGTTTGAATTTCTCTTTCCAGGAGTCTTTCTGATCTTGATTTTCTAGTATCACGAGTTTTCTTCCTGTTAATCCCTCAGAAGGTATGGTTTGGCGTGGTTTGAATGCTGCTTGAAATTCCAAAACTTTTCTTATTTGAATCTGACGTTTGTTCATTAATCTGTGTGTAAGTTAATCTGTTACATGGCTTCAATTCACCTGCTTCATAGAGTTACCACCAATGGTTTGGACGTATCAGATCCATTACTCTATATTGTGATGGAATATTTTTAATCTGGTTTGCTTTTTATGCTTGAGGAGGTGGTTTTTATCAAGCACATATGAGCAGCAGTATTTTTGTTTTACGTCTGAAATTTACACTAGTCTGTGTAACTTTAGTGTGTACATTTTTCTAACCAAACCATATCCGTGGAATAATTACTACGTTTTTGCTAAAGTTTGAACAAACAATCAATGTAGTCGATTTGCATTTTTTTTCTAACTGTGGTTAATGATCAAAACTAGTTTGCTTGTTTTCTTAGTCCAAAACTTGATGTACTGTACTACAAAAATTATATTTATGATTCAATGACTCACTCTTATGACTACAATGACTGGTTTTAATAGGTTAGTTAGTAGGCTTTGTGACAAACAAGAGTTGTTTGATATCTTGTAGAATATCTAACTTTTGTAGATTAATATAGCCATAATTATTTTCAAAGGCATTTAAACACAAATTCACAAAGTTGAAAACATATTTATTCGCCTAAATTTAAAATTCAAAAGTCAGACCCAAAACACTGAACTTAGTAAAATTGTAAAGAAGTTATTCTCTCAGCAATGGGTGGCGGCACTGCTTTGAATTTTGCTAGTTAAATACAGATTGAGGCAGTGAAACGGCACGATTTTGAAAAATCACAAATAATTAATTTAGAAAAAAAGGATAGTTGTTCTAACCTAAATCCTAAGTACATGAGTGGAAATTAATGATTTACATTATAAATAATTATATTTTGTAATAGAGTGTCAGTAAAATGGCGTACTTGGTTTTGCACACATTATTTTTGAATTATGAATTAAAATCAGCCCATGACGCTTTTTAGCTTTTGCATAACGTCTGCAATCGTTTTATAGCGCTTTGTCGTGCTAGTAGTGGCTTTAAAGTTATTCACCCAAAGAAGGATAGATTTCTTTGATGGCATGGGAGCCTATGGCGATAGACTGAACTCACAACGGAAAGTGTGCTGAGTGCAAACCATAATATCCACATTTTTGTAATATGCCTTTTACAGCAAACGCGTGTTGAGCACTCGTACAACACTCCATGGCTACAGAGATTTCTACTTGTCTAGACGTCTATGGTAATTTCCCCCGTACTCTAATAGCCCCCAATACCTTGTCAGCTGGTATCAGAATCGTGCCGTTTCACTGCCTCACCCTGTATTTTGAAGTTTTGCTGTGGAACATCAACCAAAACCCTTGATATTAAAAAATTTGTTGTTGGCTAGATGGATACTAGAGTTTTTACTAGTTAGACGTTTGTTATTAACAACTTATTTACTGTTGAAAAACTTCACTGTACGATTATAACACTTATGGAAAATTAAAGAAATGTATACCTCTATTTATGTTAGCAGTTAGCCTGTAGTTCTTTATTTCAATATTTTAGTAACAAAACCAGTCCTATTTAGTTCATCAACATTCTCATTTAAAATTGAATCCAAGTGGTTGGTTATCAGGTGGATTGGTTTAGGATTATGGTTGTGATGTTGTTGGTTTGCATATCATAATAGCCACTAACTCCTTATCAGTGCTGTTTTCTCTTGTTCTGCTATAGCTCACCCATCCCTCACTTTGATTACAAATGTCAAGCGCTTTTATTATAAACTACATTTTCATTATGAAAATAATCCTTTTCTCTATGGAGTTTTTCATATTGTAGCTGGGAGTTTAGTCAAATCAATAGAATCAGAATTGAAAACAGGTTTAAAGAAAGGTAGAGTTATTTTATCTCTTATCTTCACCTCAAATCAATCAAATCAAATCAAAAGATCTTTATTCATATTTGTAAATACATGTTTACATGAATAGTGTCAAACAATGAACATAAATAATTACATGAATAGGTAGGCTACAATCAAAATTATTAGTAGGACATTATTGATCACACTACTCCAGGTTGCTGTTTTCTGAATTTTAAGATCTATTATCTGTTCTAAAGTTAAAAAAGTCATCAAATTAATAAAGTGCCCTCTGTATCAAAAATTCTTTCAATTTCACTTTGAAACCTCTATCATCCTGCATGCTCTTATGTGATCTGGTATGTGTAAAAAATATTTACTAATCTTTAGATCCAACCAATCATTAAAAATCCATATTTTAGTCCCCGAACTGATGGACATAATGCAAGACTAAATTACTTAAACAATTTTAATCAAACACCTCAAAACAATATCTTTGTTTAGACAACAACATCTATGTCCAAAACAATATTGTGTTGTTGGACATGTTTTGGTGGTAAGACACCGTCGTCACCTTCAGGTACTTGTAAAGTTCGTCAGTGGGAAATGTCGTCATATAAAATAAAGTATGTCCTAAGCTATCAGTGCGGTCGTTCATAAATTTATGTTTATTGTTTCAATGTTTTTAGTTTTTTTTTTATGTGTGTGTAATGTGTGTATTCTACATGACAAAGTTTTCTACTGACAAACTTGTCAAGTACCTGAAGCTGACGATGGTGTCCAACAATATACATATTGTTTTGATCTGTCTGACGGAAACGTACATAATTTAGTCTTACATTTTTGAATACCTGGATTATAATCTGACGTTAATACTCCTCTTATCAAACTACACCATTGTTACATATATTTTCCTTAATTGGATTTTTGTTACTAACATTTGTCTATAAAACTCACTAACAACCAACATTTGTGCCTGGAATCTTCTTTAGACCATAAGAATTAAGATGGTTCATACTAAAATGTATTTTTCCTCTGCTGCAGGTTCTTTACTCGATCAAAGACCAATATCGAGGGTAGTCGGTTACTGAATGATGAAGAGGATGTAGATGATCTCAAGAGGATTCAGATCATCCCCTCCAACCACAATACGGCCTCTTGCTAAAACTACCACAACCAAACCTTAAAGTGCCTTAACCGACAACTTAGGTTTAATATGAACTGTATCGGAAAATATGTAATTTTTTTAAACAATTCCTACTATGTGATTTTGCCAGTAGATAAGTTTTAGGTCTTCCAAGATTTTATTTACTCATGAATTTAGCAACTGAAGTACTGTATACTATGAATAACGGATTTAAAATATTTTTATGGTTGTATTTTTTATTTACATAAAAATAACGTAGAGGTAAATATAATTTTTATTTTTATCGAATTATATAGCCATTTTTTTTTTAGATTTATAATCCAATGCTTGTTATATATTTTCATGTATCAATTCTTGTCTTCCACAAAATTTAAAAATATTAGGCCTTAGTGTTTAAAAAACGTAGTAAAACCGTACAAGTTTTATTTTGTTTTCTTAAACTATAGTGAACATTTGAAAAGTCCTCCAATTCTACTGAAAAAAGTCTGGCTTTTTTCTAACTACAATCCTAACCATGGTAAAACACATTGGTAAAATAAAAACAAGATTTTAAAACTCAAAACCAAAAATCAACACATTATTTTTTTGGTTCTCACTGTTTCTCCTCTAACCCTTTACTAGTAAATAAAAAGTATAAACAAAGCAGAAGTTAAATGATATCTATTTTTTTATTTTCTCATTAGAATAACGAATCATAAACTTATTAAATTGTAGCATAGACTAACCAGCACAAGTACACTTCTCATCCCATTGTAAAAGTTGAAGCTCATTTTTCATGTCTAATTCATGTCCGGTGACACTGATCGCTGGTGTCAATGAAATTTTGTTCCTATGAATGAATGATTTATTCCGTTAAATTAGCTATATAATACAAATGTTTTCAATTTTTACATCACCTATTAAGTTTTACAAACATAAAGTTATTTTATTATTTTTCTATTATTAAATTTTTTTATTTTAGGGTTAATTCTATGATTTGTGCGTTACTGTTTGGTTACATAACTATGCGATAAGTTATTGTTTATGATTAAATCGTTTTATTTGGTTAAACGAGGTTTTAAATTACTGAAATTACATGAAACAAATTGTAAACAAAATTCGACCTCTACAGTACATCGGACAGAACATTGTCTTCAGCTGATCCATAAGAATGAGAAATCTACTAAGGGAGTATGTTTTATCTATGGTTTTATGTAGGCCCACATATTAAAATTGTTTGTTCATCTATGTTTTGTAAGTGGGGGCTATTACAGTTAGGGCTATAGATTTAAAAATATCATAAAAGTTGTATTGCGCTTTAAAGTGCTGAATATTAGTTTGACATTAACTAAATTTGTTATAAACTTTAATGAAATTCTAGACCTTTATTAATACAAGGAAATGTGGACTTCCAAAATGATTGATAATAAAATAATTTTAAGATACACCTATCAATAATGTTTTTTTGGTTATAAACTTATATCAAGAAGGAACAAAAATGTGTTTTATTTTGTTACTACTTTTAAGTAATCTATGTACTTTATTTGCTTATATCCTATTATAATATTGGCCCAAATAAGTAGATTTTGAGCCTTGTTGTTTTTATTTGTTCATTACAGCAGACACTACAAACAAATTGTCGGTCAAAGTACTTTATTTTAAATGGAATTAAAACTTTGGTTATGTGTGAATATTTATTTATAGATGTATTATGCTCAATATTGTTATTTACTGTACAGCTGTAAAGCTATGAAACTGTTATAAACCAATGTTTTGTTTTATTTTTTAGATGTTTATATCTTGTTTTGTATTTCCAAAATACATTGTAATTTATTCAAATATCCAGAAAAGAGTACAATCTTGATTGTTGATCTTTCAACTTAACCATAAGATGGTTACATGTGAAGAAATATGTAAACATTATAGTCCTCGCCACCCTAAGTTACGCCGTGCGTTCTTGGGCTGCCTCAACTTAGGGTGGCGAGGACTATAGAATTCTAGAGCCGCATTATGTATATTTAACCTATTGAAGTCAGGTATTATTACATATATGAATTAACAATGAAAATATACTTGTGTGTCAACTTCTCAGTCCTAATGATTAATCAATCAGTTTTGTAAATAGATAGATATGTTTATATTCCTATTACCGTGCAGTTGTATAAATCATAGTATTATAAAAATATGAATATATGTAAAAAATTAGCTTATAAATAATTTTATGAAGTTATAAAATGATGTACTGATAAAAACTACTTGATAGTTAATTATACCATAACTGCTTGTACAAATAAAAAATAAAGTTACTTTTCTCAATTTTACAAAACATTTTTTACTTAAATATTATTTGAAAATACACATTTTGTTTGATTTCATGGTTGGTGTGGTAGAATCTGGATCACTAAATTTAAGCTAAATGGTTCATGTTACCTTGCTTCGTCAAGTGATCCTGTATTAATAAGTACACTACGGTTTACAAACTATATATCAAAATAAACTTTAGAATCTCCTGTGTAAAATTATATAAAGCAATATCTAATACAGCGATGTTTTCTGTTGAAACTTAGCAGTTGAAGAAATTGATGCTCAAACGACTAGTGACTAGTCATTTTCCAGTGGAGGAACTAGTTTTAGCGACTAGTCAATAGTCGTTTGCCAGATGCAGGGTTAGTGCTTTTTTTTACACTATTACTGCTTTGCATTTAGTATAAAATTCAATTATATTACCATCAAAGCTTTTGGTTGTTTGTTCTAATACATAATCAATTTTGCATCTGCAGAGAAGTTTCTGTGTCAAATTTCAATTCATTAAACCACTCTAAATTAATTTGCTAAAACCTCACGATTTTAACCCACTAGCATCCCTTATGAGCTCAGGCTTTGCCAACTAACACAAATACAATTTATTATTTCTAAAATAATTGAATTTTTCACCCTCTTAATGTGTTAAAAATGTTTTCAGTCAGCTCTATTTGATGAGAAAATATAATTTTGAACACCTACATTGTACAGAGATAAACTCTATTTTATACTTGCAGGAAATAAACAAAAATAAAATAAATAAACATGATATAAAAATAAAACTTTAATTTTCAATATAGTGAATGTTAAAACATGTGTCATATAAATTCAACATATCACATTTTGATACCAGGCATTTTAGTAGCACAAATAAATCTTGATGCAAAAGCTAAAATATTATTTTTCTCACCTACTTTACTTTTGACATAAATTTTATGAATTCCCCTTCTCTTTCATTGTCCTTAAGATATCCTCCTCTTGGGTGAATTTCTCTTTCAAATTACGAAGTTTTGCAGTATTTTCCTCTAAAAAATATATTAAATTATTAGTTATTTTCTTATAGAGGAAAGTGTTCTGGTCTGCTTATAACAGTTCTTAATGGAAACTATTTCCAACTGTTTTAATTAAAGGTTAACATTATCAACCATATTCCTCATCATATTCAAACTCAACCATAACCTTTTAGTGCACAAATGCGTGTGTTTGATATACAAATGTAAATGTGGATTCCATTTGCTTATCAAAACCTTATGGAAGTTATGGGATGATCAAAATAATGATGTGTGAGACAAGGAGATGGTTTGTCCCCATTGTTATTCAACCTAGCTCTGGAAGACTCTCTACAAGAATTACAAATGCTAGAAGCTGGAATTACTATGGGAACCAACATTAATATCCTGGCATTTGCAGATGATGTGGCACTTGTGGCCAAAAACGAAGAAGAACTAAAAGTTATGGTCTCAAAACTCATAAACCACACTAAAAAAGTTGGCTTAAATATCAATGTAGACAAAACCAAGATAATGGAATGTGGAAGAGCTATCCAATTAAATAATAAGAATCATGTAGAAATAGAAGGACACAAATTTTATAAAGTAAACAATTTCTCTTACCTAGGAGTAATGCTGACAGATAATAATGAGGAAGACTCTGAAATTCAGCAAAGATTAAATGCAGCTCATAAAAGTTTATCGGCATGCCACAAATTGTTGAGTTCTCGCCTACTCTCACAGAAAACTAAAATCCGTATATACAAAACTATAATAAGACCAGTATTACTATATGGCTCAGAGAATTGGGTGATAAGCAAGAGAACTGAGAAACGACTTATAGTGTTCGAAAACAAGATTCTAAGGAAAATCTTTGGACCAACCTTTGAAAACGGAGAATGGAGAGTTAAGCACAACAGGGAGTTGAGAGAGTTGTACAGGGACCCAGATATTGTGGCTGAGGTGAGAAGTAGGAGATTGAGATGGGCAGGCCATGTGTTAAGAAAGGAAGAGGGATCCTTAGTGAGAAACGCCCTAAACAACAATCCCGAGGGTAGAAGACCTCCTGGAAGGCCCAAGTTGAGGTGGAGAGATCAAGTGAGAAGAGATCTGAGAAGAATGGGAAGAAGAGAGGATGAAGCAATGGATCGTGCAGTCTGGAGGCAGTGTGTTGGCGAGGCAAAGTACCTCCTTGGGTACCAAGAGCCACGGCAGTAAGTAAGTAAGTAATAGTTTTGAAGCTAGTACCAACAATTAAAATATTGACCTCAACCTCCTGATTTGCTGGCTAATGGTTAGAGGGCCTACATATTACTGTACATTTGAGATCAGCACCGCATTGAGCCATTGGTATGAGTTCACAAAAAATCTCAACAGATGGCTGGACCACAGATAAAAAGACTTGTCTGACAATGATAATTCTAGTTGTTGTCCTTCTTTTAAATGCAGCAGACACTTATTGAAGCCAATAAAACACAGAATACAATGGTTGTATAGAATATTCATTCTATACAATAATTTATGTTATTATTTGAATCATACTACTGTATCCATTTTCTTTTTCATTGGTTTATTAAAACTGCATTAGTGAAGGTTTCATTTCCATGCTTTTAAAGGTTATGTTAATCACCTTCCATTAGCCATTTTACTTGTAAAATATAAAAAAGAATATTACAAATTTTGTGAATAAAATTGAGTTCACAAGTTGTAGATTATTATGTTTTCTTAAGGAAATACAGGGTGGGGCAATGAGAACGCTACAATTTGTTTTAGCTGTCACATGTTAATTGTTGCAACAACGAATGATCAGCTGTGCTTAAAACATCAATTAAACTATGCCATTTTAGTAAATATTATGCCCGAGGCTATAAACACTGAGATTTTGATGTGCAATGCAAACCTATTTTTAAAATAGTGGTTCTTGTTCAAAAACCCAGAGATTGTGTGGACCACATTCCATCCTTGGTCAACATGGCACTGTTCCAGATAGGAAAACAATGGTGAACTGGGTAAAATTATTTAGGATAAACGCTTAAACCTTAAAAATAATCGGTGGGTGCCACAAAACTCTTTGTACACCAGCAAATGTAGAAAGAGTCGCAGTATGTTGACCAAGGATGGAATGTGGTCGACACAATCTCTGGGTTTTTGCACAAGAACCACTATTTTAAAAATAGGTTTGCACATCAAAATCTCAGTGTTAATAGCCTCGGGCATAATATTTACTAAAATGGCATAGTTTAATTGATGTTTTAAGCACAGCTGATCATTCGTTGTTGCAACAATTAACATGTGACAGCTAAAACAAATTGTGGCGTTCTCATTGCCCCACCCTGTATTTGAATGAATAGGATTTCTAATATGGATCAATAATTTTTGAATGCAAATATGATTTTACATATCATTAGTGTTTTGGATATATCTCTGTTAAGTTTATTTTCGTAAGCTTGTAACCTAATATATTTACTGTAAATCACCTTATTACAATTTCTTCATAGATTACTCCATGGGGAACTTGAATGGGGTCATAAAAAAGGCATGCATAGAGATGGCGTCATAAAAATGCCCCCAAAAATACTTACCGTAATTACATATTACTAAAATATGTGAATACCAACTTATTTTTAGGTTTCAGCTAGCATTTCCCCCTTTTGAAATGTTTAATAGCTGCTTCTTCTTTTTTCATGGTTTTGAAAACAAACCTCAACTAACCATTTATAGCAGAGGAGGGTCCCAAATATCCGCCATACTCTTCAGGCAAACAACTCTTAGGGACATGTTCATACAACTTTTCCATATCGCCTGATCTGTAGATATGAGTCTAAAAATAAAATTTTAAGCTATAATTGTTTTTACATAAATTGTAGAATGATATGAGCAAATACATGTCTCTTTCGTTGACACAAAAATAGATACTAGTACCAAGAAATTCAATGTTTAACTAATTAATACTTTTGTAAATGTAATTAGTAAATACATTGCCACCAAGTACAATCTGCTACTTAGAAAATATGTAATCGTTGGAAATAATTTAAGTATAGAAACATTCAAAAATGGACACAATATATTTAATTTTATATATTCCTAAAGATTGACAATGTGCAATATCTCCAAGTTAATATATCCCAATTAGCGTCATACAAAAACTTGGTTCTTGGATCTCAAAAACGTGGTTTCCTCTATACTCCTTGGTGTTAGCAAGTTATTTATTCTTTATTAAATAATATAATGCAGTAGATCTTAACTATCCAACCTAAAATAGCTGACACATGGTTGGATAAGACAGGTAAAAACTTTGTATACAAAAATAATAATTAGGTTAATATAACAAAATAAGTACATTTTAATCAAACCATTTTTTTTGTTCTGAAGCATTAATCACAAATTAACAACAACGGAAAAAATCCTATTCCTGGAACAGTTGTCCACTTTGCTGTGGGTCTCCACTTACACTAATAAGGCTAAGATGCAAGGGGCAACTGAGAGGTACATAGTTATCACAGGTACATAGGAACATCATAGGTACATAGGTAAAAGTTGGCAAACTATGTGGTATTTTAACATATGGTATACAGCATGTGGAAACAAAGAGAAAGTATAATCAAGTGCAAGCACCTAAAGCTTGACGCGTGTCTTCCGAGCACAGTCGAAGGCAATAAATGGGTTCTCTTGACATACCTGCCACAGTGCAAAGTCATGCTACATGTAAATATAACATGATCTTATGGTACATTATTGCCTTCAGAGGGAATCAAATGAAGCAGAAAATTAAATAGCTTAACATCAGATAGCATTTTTTGTTATTTTCTTTTGTGGGCAGGAGGTAAAAATGCATTTACACACACTGAGATGCTCAATCTTAGTAGTACCGGACTGTCGCAGGCTCATTATCCCCGACTTCTGGTTAAAAAAACCCCCTCATCTCCTTAGACACTAGCCTGGAACTGTTTAGCACACTTCTTCGGGCTAGGCCTTTTCAACTATGCTACTAGGACTTTTCTTCCTATCTTCCGTAGCCCGAAGTATAGCTTTGGTAAACTAGTAGTGCAGTAAAAATAAGAGAAAAATTCCATAAACCTAAAAAAAATTAGCACAACCGGGGAATTTGGTACAGATGTTGGGTGTACCTTCCTTTTGAACATACTAAAAGTCCCCTAAAATTGAAGCTGTGCTACGGCCGCCATATTGGAAAATGGCGGCATATTTCAGTATTTTTCGCTATAGTGACTTTATTATTAGAGATACAGGAAAAATATAAATATACAAAATGTAGGTCATCTAAAAATACACATTTTTCGTATTTACCATCTTTCTCTAAACCCAACCGTTTTTGAGTTATTTGTTATTAAGTATATTTAGTTTTTTTCTGTTTATCAAAAATAGGTGAAACACGTGGAAATTGACCGTTACTTTCAAGGATTATGATAATTTATCCCATTTAGTTAAATAGTGTGATACTATAAACTCTAAAAATTTAAGCTTATTTTATAAGTAAAACAACTCTGCCACAGCAAACCTGCAGACTCAGCAAATTTCCATTTGATTGGATGTTTTATTAATTGTATTTAAATAAAATTAGATTCAACAGGTACCTAGGTTTGCTGCTATAGGTAGGTTATTATAGTGTGTTTTTTTTTAGTAAAATATCAATAACTTAGTATAAAATAATAAATTTTCCAAGTTTGATCATAATAAATCTATAAACAAACAAACTGCAACAGTTAACTAATTAATAATAAAAGCATGTTAGCTTAAGATTTACAATTTACAAATTTAAATATACAAATTTTTGTTGTGTTTACTAAAAAGATTGCGATTATTCGTCACGATTCGAATACAAACCGAAGGGGTTTTCAAAAGGAGATGAAGCAAGTAATTAAAGTACTATAATATT